CTGGGCATTATATTAGTAACCTACATGTTAACACCCAGAAAGTTGACAACTGACTGCTTTTGGAACTGGGGCACAGGTGTCAGAATGGAGAAACCAGTAGACAAGGGATCAAAAATTGTCAAGTGCTTCCCACTTTTGGGTCATTAGGGTGGGAGTTTATCTTCACTTTTCCTCACATTTACATGTGAGGAACTTGTATACAATTATACTTCTGATTCTCCCCACAGTCCTTGAATCACTCCTGTCCAGGAGAGAAGTGACCAGATTAGCAAGTTGGTAAGAATAGCCTGGCCATACTTGGCTCAGCTTCTCCTTCTTTGTTGGGCTCTGCCATCTGCAGAGACCATGTGCTCTCTGGAGTTAGATTTCACTTTGGTGCTGTACCGATTCCAGGCTGATAGTTCAGCAGCCAAGGTCACAGAATGTTCTTTGAGCCACTCACATTCTTAAAGACATGAACAATCATAAAATAGGATTTTGCAGTCCTTCCCTGTATTAGGAATTGATCTGTAATTTCCAGCCTCAATTTTCAATAAGGACAAGATTAGCACACTCAAGGGAAAACACTGACACCTGTATACAGAGATGTTAGGGGAAGCTGAGAGCTGCATTCATAGGTGTAAGAATGCCCTGAAGACTGTGCACAGGTTTAGACGTCAGGGTGAAGTGGAGTAAGACCTATAAATGAACTGCCTGGCTTTATCAAGCTTTGTAGCACTGTATGGGCAAATGCTCCTGTGTTATCACCATTACACAGAACACAATATTATAACACCAGATGTGTGGGTCTTTCCCATGCTATGGAATTCTGAGGCACCAGCTAAGTGTCCTATAATTTGGTTCTGTTCTGACAATGTCTATCTGGAGTTAGCATTAAATCCACATGTTAAGGGCTCTGTCCTCCAAGACCCCCACTTCAGATGCCCATGCAAGTAGTCCCAGATTATAGTCACCTATAATCTGACTGTCTGGTTCCTACAAGGTGCTCCTTGGGTTTGATAATTTGCTAGAATGGCTCAAAGAACTCATGGAAATACATTTACTAGTTCCTGTGTAAAGATGACAGATAAACAGATGAAGAGATACAGAGGGCAACATCCCAAGGTTCCCAACACAGGAACTCCTGTGGTTGTAGAGCTGGGGTGTGCTACTCACCCAGCACAGTGGTGTGTTCACCAACTGAGCAGCTCCATACTTTTGGGATTTTTATGGATACTTCATCATATAGGCATAATTGATTATTAACTCCATGTCCAGCCCTCTCCCCTCTGCAAGGAATGGGGATGGGACTATAAGATCCAAGTTTCTAATCATGGTTTGGTCTTTTGGTGACCAGCTCACAGCCAGCATCTCACCAAGAGTTACCTCATTATAACAAAATGTATTCTCATTACTCAGGGAATTCCAGGGACTTAGGAGCTCTATCTACAAAGACCTTAAGAGCTTTTTGCCAGAAATTAGGAGCAAAGACCAAAATATTCACTCTGTGTGTGTGTGTGTATGTGTGTGAGTGCATAACATACTTAGATATATATGTGTGTATATATAAATATAAATACATATATTTCTATTATGTCACAACCACCTATATCACAGGTATTAAATATTCAACACTAGAGCAAGCTCAAATGCATTGTCAATGTCTTACAACTCCTTCATCTAATAATCATAACACAGAAACCAGTTAGCAAAAAGATTAGCCAGTTGAGAGAGACAGTATTTAGTTGAACAGGAAGAAATTCACAATCAGGAGTTTTCTAGATGGTCATCTGATATATTACAAGATCACTGCTCGTTTGAGTTTTCCTTATAGTTCTCTAGGTTAGATACAGGAAGTTCCAGCATAACAAGTGCTGTACGGGCCCACAGGACACTGGGTAGAGTCTGATTCTCTGAAGGATGACTCAGGAACATATATTTCTTTTCTTTTCTTTTTCTTAAAAATTTATTTATTCATGCATACAAGAACCACGGTACAGTCCAGATGTGCAGGAGGGTGAGAGGATTCACCAGAGACAGAGTGGGGACAGAACAGGCACACTGACTAAAATACACTGCTGAGGAACAGCGGGCGAAACAGGAGAGGTCTGCCGTGCCTTGTGGGTATCTCCCTGGCAGGCCAGGATCAAACCGGTGCTGCAGAGGCTGCAGACAGCTTCACAGTATTGTGCTCAACTGCCTCCACCATCAGGGAGGCTCAGAAACATGTATTTCAATACGGCATTTCTTGCAGTAAAGCATATTTCCAGTACTTAGCAGTACTTATGTTAAAGACACCAAAAAATTCAAATTACTCACCCTAGATGTCAAGTCTTGGTTTCTTTTATAATGTAGATGTTTGCATTTAGGCTGAGTACAGGAAGCTTTAGGTAGGGTATGGCATTGTGGAGTGTGGGAGGGGAGAAATGTATATATTATCATAGTAAGAAAATCTTACTAGTTGAATCTGAAATCTGCATTGCAAATTACTTCTGAATTAATGTGAAAAAAATCTGCAATTCTAAATTGGATTTAGGGTTCATTTCTACCCTACCCAGACTTAAGGACAGAAAAACAAAAATTTAATAACCTTATCACTGCCACTACAACTTCCATAAAACATGGTAGTCTTTTAACAGTTACAAGAAAAATGTTAAGACAGAGACACTTAAATTAGTTAGAATCACTATTAGATATTAAGGTTGATTTGATCATGAATTAGTAGGAATTTTGACTCTAGTTCAATTTAGAGTCAAAAAACAGAAGGAAAAAGAACTCAAACTTACCTGAATGCTCTGTCCAAATTTTTGCTTTTCTCCCGAATAACTAGTAGAGTAGAACAGATATCCTTGGGCATTTGTCCAGTAGATGGTGTTTCTTTTCCAGTCAATATCCAATAAATAGATATTCCAAGGATGCTCCTGAAGTAGAGTTCTCTCTATAGCAGTTCCCATAAATCCAACTTTCAACAAGTAGAGATGTTTGCCAGAAGAAAACACAAGTTTTAACTCTACCAAGGAAAAAGAGAGATTAGCTATCTGTTTGTCAGATAAGTCCCTGTTCCATTCTTGAGCAAATTTCTCTCAAGCTGAGATAAACAAAGAAAGGGATCTTATGATGTTTGCTTCTGAAGTATATATTCAACATAAATGTCTTAGGTTCTTTAGCAAAGTGAGTCATTTGTTTGGGAAAGCCTAGCAATAAACCTTCAATTTCAGCTGAAAGTTCAAGACAGAATCATGAAGATTAGGACTGGAGTGTTTCCATTAGACTCAGTAATGTCATGGAATCCTTGCTTATAATACACAAGTCTCTACTGTAAAGAATTTTAACCTCTTACCTATATAAAGAAAAGTTACTCAGGTATTTATATATAATGTTCAACAATTTCAGCTGAAGTCTCGAGTTGGGCCAACAACTCATTAAGATGGCCTTAGGGCTACTCTATAAACTGTACTCTTTTTCCTTGAAAATTATGTTCAGTGAGGTAAAGTAGGTTTACATCTTTGTGTCTGCTTGGGGTTATAGGTTCAAACCTCTACAGGTGTACACTTTCACACCCTGCCCTCAAGTGTGCCCCAACAATTCTCCACCATGTTCCATTAGGCCCCTTTTCTCCCAACTCCCACCCATCTACCTCCCCCTCTGGTTACCTCAGTTTTGTAGTCAGAGGTTGTTTATTATTGGTTTGTTTGTTGTTGTTGTTTTTTAAAGATTTATTTATTTATTTATACAAGCACTGGGTACAGTCAGAAGTGCGGGAGGGTGAGAGAATTCACCAGAGCCAGAGCGGGGATCAGAACAGGCAGACCGACGAAATACACTGCTGAGGGGAGAAGTGGGCGTGGCAGGAGAGGTCTGTCGTGCCATGTGGGACCCTTGCTGGGGGTCGGGGATCGAACTGGTGGTGCAGAGGCTGCAGGCAGCTTTGCAGCCCAGCGCTCAACCGCTGCACCACCAGGGGAGGCCCTGTTGGTTTGGTTTTGACTGACACTTTGTAATGTTTCTCTATATTCCACATATTAGTGAGACCATCCTGTATTTGTCTTTCTCCTACTGACTTTTTTAAAGTAGTTAGAACATGAACATATTTATGTTATCTAGTCTTAAAAATCTCAATGTTCTATAGAAAAATCACGTAGATAGAGATGGTGAATGGATTATGTAGACATCAATATTTCAAATATGGAACAAACAGCAACACAAAGAAGTCATCATAACTATATTGAAGTGGACTCTCTACAAACAGGTCAGAACACAGAGTCAGCACTACAGAGAATTCATTTCTTATACCAACATATTTGTTATATTTTTTATTAAAAACTGAGTGATGCACTTTTTTATTTTAAAATTAATCAAACACACATCATTGATGAAGGAATGGATAAACAAAATGCAGTCTATGTATATAACATTACTGGTTCTATAGTAGACAAATATCAGAATACAGTATCTGTGCAATGAAAAAGAAAGCTTAAAAAGAAAGGAAATCCTGACACTTTCTACACCATTATGCTACGTGAAATAAGCCAGTCAAAAGGAAATACAGTGCAAGAGCCGACATACATCAAGTAACCTAAAGGAGTAATATTCATAGACACAGAAAGAACGGTGGTTGCCAGGGGCTGGTGGAAGAGAGGATTTAGTGAGTATAGAACTTCAGGTTGGGAAAACGAAAGTTCTGGAGATTGAAGATAGTGATAGTTGCACAAAGATGTGAATGTACTTAATGTCACTGAACTACATCCTTAAAAATGGCTCATATGATAAATTTTATATATTTTTATAAATTATATAAAATAAAATTTTATATTAGTTTTTTAACAATAAAAAACTAATCAAGGTCTTTTGATAATCAAACTTGCTATCAAGTAGGTTGTCAGTATAAAAGTGATAGAACAAAAATAGAAGCTACATAATTTCCAGGCCAACCATGAAGGTGCCTCCATGAGCCAAGCCCATTTCACTAAGGTACTTACCACTACATGTACCAGAAGGCAGAAGAAACATTCCTTCTGGACACACACACTTGTAGCCCTTGGGACGGACAGGAGACAGAAGACACAAGTGGCTACAAGCCCCTGGAACACACACTGGGTATCTGCCTATTTTAAAATAGAAATATATTAGTTTAATTTCAAGTTTATCTATCCAGTCCAGTTCAAAGCTTGTTACTCCAGGGAAATTAAGCCATTTTTGTCTTAGGAGAAGGAGAACTCCTTGTTAGTTTTCAGGTTAGGCATCCTGGTCTTTGAACTCATGTGGCCTCCTGTCCCTCAGGTAGTGACCATTACAAATCTCTAGTAGGGTAGGTCCAATAAAGCTTTGAACAAAAACATCTTCCCCATTAGAGTCAAGGCAAAATGACTATCTAACTTGTTAAACAAGGACTCCCTTAGAAATAATGGTCTAGGTTCTCTGTTTAGTTGCTTAAACCCATTCAAGAAATACTATGAGAGCTAACAGATACAAACAGACTGACTAAAAGCATTTAAATGCCTGTCAATGAATATTTGACTATCTTTTATAAGCAGGATTCTGGGCTTGTTTCAATCTTCTATTATCAATTGACATGTCAGTAATTAAGCTATTATAGTACTTCTATTTTTTATATTTTAGAAGTTAAAAAATGTGACCACTACACTGGACAAGTACAAGGTACATGGTTGGAATGAGTGTCCCAGTCGATGTTTTTATTCCGTTCTTCTACTTAGCAATCTCGTATAGGTCTGGAATGCTATCCAGAACACCTCCCTTATCTCAAAAGAGATGTTCCAATAAGAGATTACAGTAGTAATTTAGGTAGTTTCAATGTAGTATGCAGGCTGATTCATAAATAAGCATGTGAAAAGCAAGCTGTTTACTTACTCTTTGGCTGCTGGGATTTGTGGAGGACCGAGAAAGCAGATATGGAGGCATTAAGCAGCACCACTCTCTCTTGTGGGGTGCGGGGTGAAGTATGGAACAGCTGTATTTTATTTGCCCAGAAGAAAGAGTTCTCAAATACGACTAGTCCCAGTGGATGTTCATCCTCCAAGAAGACCTCAGGGAAGGTATGCCTCCCCCTGCCGTCCACCTTTACTGTCTCTATGGACTGAAGGGGTAGAAAGTCTCATGAGAACATGATAGCATGAAGAGGTGGCAACAATATTAGTGCTCTTTAGTTTCTGGGACACTAATTATAAACATTTTTAGGTGATATCAACTGAATAGAGAAACTCATCTTAGGACTCATAGAAAAGAATGTCAAAGCTAGTAAATTGGACCACTTCTTGGACAAATTAGTGATATGTTATACCAAGTAACTTCTAGAGATTACTGGCCACCATCTAAACATTTTACCAAATCCTTTCATTGCATTCTCCAATTGCCTTTTGTCATACATATTTTATTTCTTTTCAAAGAGGTATCATAACCAAAATCAAAGCTAGCAAGAAATAAAAATATAACTCCCAAAACCAGGCTTTCAACCAGTGTTTTCTACTGGTCTTTTAGTTTGAAACAATTTCAAATGAGATAACATGAACTCTAATGTAAATACAAGACACGGAAGTACCTGTGCTTTCAATGAAGTGGTCTGCCATTTTGAAAGGTTTTGTACCATGGATACAAGATAGCACATAATACTACCAGGAAATTCCAGTGCTAAATTTGACTATAGAATATTTAAGAAAACTGATACCATCTAACTTAACCTAAAGATACTGTGTAATTATACCTTGCTCTTCTCTGTTTTCATAGCTAGAACATACTTCAGTGAGTTAATGCAATACTTAAAAGAACTTACTATTGCCTATAGTCATACCAAGCCCTTGCTCAATGGGTTTCCTTTTTTCTTGGGACCTACATAATCCTCTGTATCTAGGTTACCTTTTTATATTTGCTGATCCAGTAGAGCCTGTCAGTCACATGGTCAAGACTTAATCCTATCGGCTCCTCCATGGTTACAACTGCAAGCACCTTCCTATCAGAGCCATCCATCCCTGCAGTTTCAATAGTCCTCATGTCCCTCTCACCTTGATTCACCCAGTACAAGTACCTAAGAACAGCAAAAGTACAAGGTGTTAAAGAACCCTCTCAGGTACATGTACAATTTTCTGAACAGCAGGCTCCCTCAGCTCTCTCATGCAGACCTTTTATTATTGCACTTCAAAGAATGCTGGAGATGTATGCTCCTAGACTTTTTTTTTGGGGGGGGAAAGTCTCCCTGACTCCATAATACTGAATTTAGACTTCAAAATTAAGAATTTTCTGGAGTAAATGAGACCTGGGTAGAAAAGTTTGATGTGTTCTCATCTAAAACCTTTAATAAGATAACCAATGCTTTTGGATATACTCCAAAAGAAACAATACTTACTTCCTTGCAGGAAACACTATTAGCTGTTGTGGAACAAGATCCTTTTCCAAGATTTTGACATAACCTCTGCCATCACTTAAGCCAGCACAGATGACCCTTGCAAAGCTGCTAGCCCAGTACAGCTGTCCTGTGAACCAGTCCAAGGAGATACTGTTCACTGCTCTAAGCTCTGGAACACAGGAGACAGCATTATGTCCCTATATTCTTCTACACGTTTCTTACCTTGAAAAAAGAGACTCAATATAACTTTCTTTGGAACTGGACATCTTCTGATTTCAAGTGTTATGATAAGACAAATAGAACACAGGGAATGCGGATCAGAGATGTGCTAATGTGCTTACAATATATAGTGGACAGTAGGGAAAGACAAAGGCATTAGCAGAGCATAACCAAGGAATCCAAGAAACTGTGACTTCAGTTGGGGTCAATATCATAGAAGCCTCAGGTGAATTATTATGAACTCTACCTCTTAATTTCTATCAGAGGATTTCCAGAGGTATCAGAGGAGTTAATATACCCAAAGTCACATACTTAGTCATCGGACTTAGACCTGGTTTTTGAGCCCATATAGTCAAGCTTTCAGTATATCCTAATATTGGTTGCATTCTCATATTATACTCTAAAGTTCCTATAGACCAAAACTACATCGTCTTATTTCAAATCTGGATTTTACGAACACTTAGGATTCGTGACAAGTGAATCACAGATGATGCTCAAATGAATGCATATGCTTATGATCCCACATTTAAATAGCTTTAGAATGCTAAGTCTCTTAATGCCAAGAAACATACCTGGATAGAGGGGAACAGATTTCAGCTTCCCAAGAACAAACATATTTAAAACTTCATCCACCCAGAAGTACATGCTTCTCTCAAGATCATATGCAATAGATGTAGGCTTTGATTTTATAGGTAACAGAGTCTCATAGATGCCTGTTCTGTGATTCAGGACACCAAGTTCTCCATCTGCTGCTGTAAGAATTTTAACAGCATCATCTGTAATAGAAGTAGAAGAAGTGATATTAATTTGAAACATATTTTCACACCCTTCTCTTTAAGATTTTGCCCCCTCTCCCATGACAAAATCTACTTATCCCTGAAAACTGAAGCAAGGTTCATACAGGAGAAATCTAAGTAACTACCTTACATTTTACTTATTTCTTCCCTCTGAACTCCAGAGAACTGAAACTAATCTTTGGAACTTTACCATCTTATTTGATTTCTGATTCAGCCCTTCTTCACACCAAGACATAACCAAGGAATCCAAGAAACTGTGACTTCAGTTGGGGTCAATATCATAGTAGCCTGGTACATAGTAGCCAAGAATGATTAAGTGTCCAAGTGCTAAAGAAACACAGGCCAAGTTAAGATGCTTTGATTAGATGTCCCAAACATCTAGTTCTATGGCCTACAGAATAACTAAGTCATACTTGATGGCAACTGACATGATTGGCCAAAGAATGTGATTGTACCTAGTTTAAAGAAAGAATAAAGCAAATCATGTCTAATATTAGACCTTAAAATGAATCATTTATATACTTTTATCTTAATTACTAAGAACAGAGGAGGATTTAGGCATTGCTTTAGATACTGAAACTTACCTGTAACTTGACAGTCAGTGCCATTGTAGAGCTGGTAACCTTGAACACACTCGCAGGAGTATGAGCCTGGTGTATTATGACATAGTTGACCACAAGGACTGTATGCCATAGAGCACTCATCTACATCTGGTGATAGATAGAGAATCAAAAATTAGAGAAAACCCAGGAATACTCTCGAGACTTTTTGTTCTTTTGAGCTACTTTTTGGATGCTCAGTGGACATGTGTAATGTGGAAATCTCTGTGTCAGCTCCTGAACTATACAACCCCTATCTCCACATAATTCCCATGGACATCAATTATTTTAGCAGAAAGGTCAACAGAGGGACCCTAAATGCATGCTTGGCACAGAATACTGATCTATTACCCTAGCAACCTTCTGGGGATGTGTCACTTGTCAAGCCAGTCAGAATCTAATTCAGTATGACAAACATTAGGGCCTAGAGTTCATGAATGTGCCATATGATCTCTCATCTAAGATGATAAAACAATCTTAAAACTCACAGGTATAACTGCAGAATTTAGGTAAGGCACTGTAACTTCTCAAAGTTGTTTGGGAGGGATCCTTTAAAGTATGAACATTGACGTTTATATCAATAATTAAAGATAAAGAAGTTATGACCATACAGTGGGGAAATTAGAGTTTCTAACAAATGATAGAAACTGTAATGGGAAACCTGTATGGCCACAAGTGAAGGAATGAAGTTGAATTACTCTCTAACTCCATGCGCAAATTAAATTCAAAATGAATTAAAGACTTAGATATAAGATCTACAATAATAAAATATAGAGAAGAAAACATCCATACGTATCACAGTACCAATGATAAAGATATTTTTGTAGCTTTGACCTCTATGTTAAGGGAAATAAAAAAGCATAAAATACATATAATTATATTTAAAAGACATTCCACTAAATGAGAGAAAATATTTACATATTCACAACCAAGAGTGGGTATTATCCAAGATACATAAAACTTTATAAAATTTAACAATGAAAAGCTATACACCAGAATTAATAAATGGAAAGCAGAGCTGATTAGACAGTTCACCAATAGACACATGTAAAGAAGTTCATCATCACTTTTAATAACAAATATGCCAGTAAAAACCATAATGAGTTAATCATCTCACACCCATGAGAAAGGTACATATAAATTAAAACATCCCCAATAACAAGTGCTAGAGAGGATGTTGAGGAAGAGGAACTGTACTGCTGGTGGCAATGTAAACTGGTATGGCCATTTTGGGAGGTGATTCAGATTTACCTTAAAATACTATAAATGGAAGTACCATACAACCTAGCAATCCCATTCTTGGGCATTTTTCCAAAGAACATGAAACTACTAGTTCAAAAATTTATATGCTCTGCAATGTTTACAGCAGCATTATTCACAATTGCTAGGACTTGGAAACAATCTAAGTGCCCAGTGACAAAGGACTGAATCAAGATGCAGTATGTCCACACCATGGAATACCATGCAGCCATAAGGAAAGAAAAAAATGTTGCCATTTACAGACAGCAAAATGGAGTTCACAATTATGTCTAGTAAACAAGTCACAATTACAAAGTCAAATTTTGGACACATATAGTAGATGATTTGATAAAGCAATATACTTATAAAAACTAGCAGCCACTAGTAAAAGATATGAGGTTTCTGGGCTGGGGGAAGGAGGAAAGGTCAAAGGGTATAAGTGAAGAGGGTGGAGAAATGAAAATAGAGAAGAACTGGGGAAAAAGAGCCAAAACTATGTGTAAGAATTTAGTTAAAGTTGAGAAAAAATGAAATATGAGGAGAAGTTAGATTCTCTAGCATAACTGATAAACACTTTTAGTGTTTACAGTTAAAGGAAAAGAGTTATTATATCAATGGCATAAGGAAAAAATGTGGCACCCCAGAGTTAACCACTGTTAATATGTTGTGAATATCTTCCCAGGATACTACCTGCCACAAGGTAGCACACAAACATTTATTTAGTGAAAAACAAAAAGTAAAAAATAAAGTGTGAATCATGGGGACTAGGAAGTTTATTTTGGCTTGGTTTGGTTTGGTTTTTTAAGCAGGAAGGAATATGGTTCCTTGGGGGCATAGCCAGAAAAACCATTATTTCTCCTAAACCATGGGCTTCTAAAGTAGAATATTCCCTTTCCAGCCCAGGAGAATATCAGGATGTGTTTATAAGTCAAACTCAGTGGCCCACATGCCCCACAATGGGCCATAAACCATGAAGGATGCAGCAGACTCTAGAAGAGGAGGGACAAACTGAAGCCAGGCCCCTAAAAGATTATAAACAGATACTGATTTTAGATTTTTTAATGAAATAATAAGTTTAATTGCCTTATCCAAAATAGCTCATTACAATTCTTGATGATTTTTTTTAAAGATTTATTTATTTATTCATATAAGAACTGGGGTTGCCCCAAATGGCAACCCCTATTTGGGGGATCAGTACTACAAAATAACAGCCATAACACTTTCAGATTATTAGACAATATATGAAGGACATATGAAATTTATTTTTGCTATTCTGGCATTATAATCCCATCTTACAAAGGGGAGAAATAAGACTTAGGATTCAATGACAAAGGAATTCAGCTAGCCAAATGTATAGTGGACTCTAATTTCAGAATCTATCCAACCAATCATGCCATAGACCTCAGGTGTGGCCACGAAGTAACTATTTATTCCAAGACCATTTATTCCAACCCTGAAATTCTATAAAACATGTTAAATTCATTTCCTCATTAGTCGACATTGACCTACACTGCCCATAAAAGAGGATGATGACAAGTGGAGAATGTGGAGAATTCTTGGCAAGAATGTGGAGCAATTGGAACCTTGCATATTGCTGGTGGAAATGTTAAAGGGTGCAGCATTGGGTAAATGTTTAAACAGAACTTACTATATGACCCAGAAGTTTCTTTAAAAAAAAAAGATTTATTTATTTGTGCATACAAGAGCTAGGGTGTAGGCCAGAGGTGTGGGGGTTGAGAGGATTCACCAGAGACAGAGTGGGGAGCAGAACAGGCAGATTTACTGAAATACACTGCTGAGGAGAGCAGTGAGCAGGAAAGGAGAGGTCTGCTGCACCATGTGGGTCAGCTCCCCTGCTGGGGGATTGAACTCATGCTGCAGTGGCTGGCAATAGCTTGGTAGTGCTGAGACTTAACACCTTGTGCCACCATGCAGGCCCTGATCCAGCAATTTCACTTGTGGTATATATATGCAAGAGAACTGAAAGTAGGCAATCGAACACACTTAAATACCAATGTTCATAATGGCATTACCTGTGAGAGCCAAAACAACCTAAGTGTCCCTGAACAGGTAAATGGATAAACAAGATGTAGCATATATATATACACAAAGCAATATCACTTGGCCTTTAAAAAGGAGGGAAATTCTGATACAAGTTACAACATGAACCTTAAAGACATGCTAAGTGAAAAAAGCCAGACACAAAAGGAAAATAACTATGGGATTCCACTTATATGCAGTAATGGAAAAGGCAAATTCATAGATACAAAAAGTCAATAGAGGTTAGCAGGAAGGAGAGAATGGGAAGTTATCACTTCATGGGAACAGAGTTTCTGTTGCAGATGATGAAAGAGCTCTGGAATGCATAGTGGTGAAGGTTGCACAACATTGCAAATGCAGTTGATGCCACTGATTTACACACTTAAAAATGGCAAATTTTATATTATGAAGATATTATATTATATGAAAATAAAAATGTCTTTAAAAGATAAACCAAAATGTTCTGACCTCCACAGTTCTGACCATCTTGCTGTAATTGCCAACCAGGTCCACAGGAACACCGGACACCCCAGGTTGTGTCACTGCACTGCCCGGTGCAGCCCCCATTAATTTTAGAGCAGTTTTTACCTGGGAGAGACAGGGCAATGGTGAGTACAGGTAAAAGAGGTGAAAGATCAAACATTTTATAAACTGTATTGTATCAGAACTATCTACATTCAAGTGAGCAACAGATGTCTGGGTATGCATAACTTTTGACACTGCCCTCTTCCCTAGGAACATGAGGCACTGGGGGAAGACTGCACTAGAAGGAAAGGTTGGCATCATGGAGTAGGGGAAGCCATTTCTTTTTAGGCTAACATTCTGGACAATTCCAGGTGTGGGTGTGTTATTCAGTCATGGAAAAACCAGCAACCTCTTCACTATTTTCTCTAGAATCTATGGATGGTTTAGACCCTCCCCTCAGAAAATGATACAATTTACTAATCCAAGAACACAGTTCAGAAACCCATACTTTCTACCATTTCTTAGCTTTTAGCATTTCTTATTTGCATTCCTTTGACGAAAAGCTTCTTTTGGTCTTTAACAACACTGGAGGGTTTCACAGCACATATATAAAGATCAGATTTAGGGAGGAAGTTAAAAGACAAGATGAAAAATGACTTGGGGACAGATGCCCACTCTCCCTCTGTTTCAACTGGAACCAACTGTGATCTTTACAGTGCGAATTACAGGATTCAGGATTGGGGCTGCTGGCTCAGTAGACTCCCTTCTCTCCAGGAAAGTCTTCCCAAGTCCTTTCTCTGCTAAATCCTGGGAGATTTCACTATTTTGTCTTTGCAAACGATTCTCAGTGGCAAAATTTGAGTTCTTTATTCCACAATCTTAGAACAATATAGATTGTGTTGTTTAGCTAGTCTATTTCTCTAAAGCTATAACATTTGAGCAACTCTTAAAGTTTTATAGCTCAGTTAACATTTATACACACTCAGGAGACCAATGCCAGGAACTGCAATTTGTCGTATGTAAGGGATCCATCACTGAAAAATAACTGCTTGTCTACAAGAGTTGGTCCTAGCATTCTCTCAGAGTAGACCCCTATGCACTGGCCATATTGATTAATGGAGACATTTGCTCATTGAGCTATTCAGACTTTATCTCCTCCTGCTTTAAACCAAGAGACTGGTTTCTTACCACATGTAGTGGGTTCATCAGTGCCATCTGTACAGTCTGCTTTCCCATCACACATCAGGGATTCTAGGATGCATTTTCCTTCATCACATCTAACCATGCCTTCTGGACAGAAAGCTGTGGAGGAAGTTAAGCATTCTTTTTCATCAATATTTGTGTTGGGGAGTGGGGAGAGTGGGAATAGACATCTCTTACACCAGGCAGGTAAGCTGGTAATATTTCTACAAACCAAAGTAAATCTAGGTAGGGAAGCAAGTTCTATCTTTGTAAGCAGGTTTTTTTTTTTAACCCAATCTTTTAAAATATTTTATTTATTTATTTTTGCATAGAAGAACTGCACTGTAGGGCCTCCCCTGGTGGCGCAGCAGTTGAGCACTGGGCTACGAAGCTGCCTGAGGCCTCTGCAGCACCAGTTTGATCCCAGGGCCACCGGCGAGGGTCCCACATGGTGCGACAGACCTCTCCTGCTGTGCCCGCTGCTCCCCTCAGCAGTGTATTTCACCAGTCTGCCTGTCTTATTCCCCGCTCTGGTGAATTCTCTCACCCTCCCATGCTTCTGACTGTACCCAGTGCTTGTATAAATAAATAAATAAATAAATAAATAAATCTTTAAAAAAAAAAAAAGAAGTGGACTGTAGGCCAGATGTGCTGGGGTGAGAGGATTCACCAGAGTCAGAGTGGGGTGCAGAACAGGCGGATTTACTGAAATACACTGCTAAGGGGAGCAGCGGGGGAGACAGGAGAGGTCTGCTGCACCACATGTGAGTTAGCTCCCTGGCTGGGGATAAGTCTCAGACCTTATCAGTCATGATAGCCCTGAGACTTAGCCCCTAGGCCACCAGGGGGGCCCTTTGTAAGCAGTTTTAAGAGAATTGGGAACTTAACATCTTTGTTATCAAGCCTTAAGACATCTGAACATCAGATTGAAATAATCAAATTAAAGTGAGTTGATATTAAGTAGTTCTAATTGAAATGGTTTTAAAGTCAACAAAACAATCCTAAAAGAAATATTTGCTTAAGAAACCAGTTTATTTTAAAAATGTCAGACTCTGAATATATTAAATACTGTAGATTCAACTCTAGAAATATTGAATCGGATTGTTGGAGGGTCCATTATGTTATGTGTATGTGGCTAGGAAAAAAGGCATAGAGCACCCACCAAGTTCTTTGGGGGGTTTTCCTTCTTCAGTGAGGAACTTCCCCCTCTGTATTCACTACACAAGGCTAAGGGCACCTGTTAGGAGGCCTCCTCCCATCTGGATGCTCAGGTTTTGTCTGCACCGGCCAAATTGACTGGTGGAAACAATCTAGGCAGTGCATAGTGTATACTTTGCAGCTACTATGCAACATTGCTCTATATTTCCATGATTGACTAAATTTTGGTTATTGTGAGGAAACATCCTGTTTTTAGATACAGGATGACAGTCTTAGTCATAGGAATTAAAATCCAACTTGCAAAAAGCAGCCCACACAGTGCACCTTTCCCTTAAAAGGAAACAAGGAACAAAACTCACCACAGACGTCCTCATCGGAGGAGTCCCCGCAGTTGTTGGTGCCATCACACTTCCAGCCGTCTGCCACACACACCCTGTTCTTGCACTGCCATTGCCCAGGTAGGCAGTGGCTCTGGGGACAGCGGCCTTCATAAGAACCCTCTTCACAGTCCTCAGGGGCATCACAGAGCTCCCGAGCATCACGGCACAGAGAACTTCCCGGACACTGGATTTTTTGGCCAGGACAGGCTGTCAGTACCTCTAAAAGGCAGGAATTGGCTCAGTGAGGTGGAAGTGCTATGCTACAGACTTATTTAGGCATGAATGGCTTGCTCATGAGCTCTGTCTATAAAAAAACAAGAATTGAGAAAGACAGTAGCCATGGAGATGTACAATATACAATTTTGTATATTGAAATTTCATCCTAAAAATGTTTTTAAATAGAATCAATAAAGCTAATAATCTTTTTATTTCAGGTAATTTTCTTTCCTTTTTTTTAAAAAGATATATTTATTTGTACAAGAACTGGGATACAGGCCAGAGGAATGGGAGGGTGAGAGGATTCACCAGAGACAGAGCCTGGAGCAGGACAGGCAGATGGACCAAAGGCACTGCTGAGGGGAGCAGCGGGCGAGACAGGAGAGATCTGCTGCGCCATGTGGGCGTCTCCGTGGCCGGCCGGGAATTGAACCTGCACAGCAGAGGCTGGGGACAGCTTCACAGCACTGCGCTTAACCGGCTGCACCACTGGGGAGGCCTATTTCAGGTAATTTTCTAAAAATAAGTTAGTGGGTAAAAAAAAGTCATCTATAATACCAGGGAAAACTTAACACCTGGGTTGAGCCTATGTGGTAGAAGGCTTGCTTGTTCCCTTAATACTGTGATTATGAGTCAACGCTTTTAACTAACAGAATAGGACTAAAGATAACAAGCTGTACGTGCCACAGTGAACCTCGTCGGAACCATCCAGGCAGTCGCCAGCACCGTCACAAAGCCAGCTAGTAGGAATACACCTGCCGTCGTCACACTGCCAAGCCCGGGGGTGCCCTCGGCATGCTTCCTCTGCGGGCCAGGGGCGGCGGCATTCAAGAAGATACAAAAAGGAAGGTGCTTGTCAGGAATCTAACAGCTTTTAAATTTGGGTTTCATATTAAGCATTTTCATTAGCAAAGGAATAATTAATTCTGCTTTGCTTCTAGAGTCCACCCTAAACGTGCCTGTTCTTGTCATGTGACCCCTGACAGCATCACACAGGACCCCCTCCCACCCTCCGACGACGCCCACCATTTTACAGGGCACGGTTGTCCAATAAAAGTTTCTGTGAAAATGGAAGAATTTTAATTCTGTTCATCCCAAATGGTGGCCACTGGTTCTTGAACACTGAGATGTGACTAGTATGACAGAAGGATTGAATATTATTATTTTAGGTGTTTAAATAAATTTAAATCCTTACATATGGCCAGCAGCCACTGTGTAGAACAGTGTAGATTCATAGGTTTACTTCCTTGAATTCTTTTGGTATTTGAGACGATGGGAATGTTCAAGAACCTGGGAGCAATTCGTTTTTAATTAGACCTTAAAATTTCCAGCTAAGTATGCCTACAAGCAGAAGGCCACAATCATGGGAAGCTGGTGAAGTGCACGGGGGCAGAGCACAAGGAATTATTTTCTAACCTGTAACATGACATGTGTGACTGTCAATATTACATGTTTAATATCAAATGGATCGTGTAAATTTATGTCATAGTAATTGATACCCCAAGAATGTGCATGTGGGGTAAACAAACAGCACTCACCGAGGAGGGTTTTTCTCCTTTAAGGAGAAAATATCTTTTCCATATGCATAGCACAAGGATGTGAGGAATCTGGTTTAAGAAGCTCACATATGCGGGTGCTCAGAGGCCTCTTCTGGGACTCTGAGCCCTTTTAGCACAGAAGTTCTTGAGATTTGTTTAACAAGACATGTACCAAATGGCAAACCTGTCTTTATGAGAATGATAGGACTTTTTGGTTCGCTGGTTGTGTAGGTTTTTGTGCTTAAGTTGAAAGCTGTGCTTAACTTGAAAGCTGTGTTTAGTTGTAGATCTCTAAGCCTGTGAAGGTTGAACTGGTTTATTGTATACAGAAAGTTGTATGCACTGGGGTCTGCAAGGATTTCATACGAAGAATCTCTGTATTATTCAAGTTTGAGTGATATCACATAGATGTTTAAGCCTATTCAAGGGAGGAATCAGCCTTTTGCTGAATTTTCCATATTAACTAGCCTGCCCCACTTGTCTTAACGGTGTTACCTATACTTAAGCATCCGTGGTCTTGTCCACTGAGATCCTGCAAAAACCCAGAGCACCTAATATTTCTGAATACCCCTTAATGGGTATTCACGAGAATGGACACTGCTGGCCACGCACATTGCACTAAGGATCCTGTATAGGTAGCGCATGATGCAGTAGTGAGAAGAGCTCACTTACCACACTGCTCATCAGTCCCATCGGGACACTCTTGCTCTCCATTGCAGAGCCAGGTCACAGGGATGCATTTCTCACCACACATAGCTTGCCTGGTCCTGTTACACTTTGCTTCATCTGCATGGAATGACCAAGAAATCAAGCCATGAGAATTCTTGGCTCACTCTGGTACTCAAGAGAACATCTTTTCAGGATAAGCTGCAACCAAAGGTAATTTTGCAAAGCCTGCCTTCCCACCTAACCCCCAGGAGAACACAAGGGGGATCCAGTATCCTAAACACCCTAATGCATTCTCTAGTGATGACCCTAGGGAACCCTTCTTTCTAGCCCTGTGAAGCTGTTGATGGGGTCTTGGCTCTTGCTTCCCTGTTTTCCTAGTAAAATGGGGTGGACTCACACTTGTGTGAAAGAGGCAGGAATACTTTTCCAGTTCTGGCTCTGTCTCAAAGACTCAGTATGAAGAGTTTTAAGTTAGAAGTCTAGGTTCAAAGAACTTGAATCTAGTTTACTTTTAGACTTAGAAAGCTACATCCTAAAAACTGATTAGGGTTTTGGATCCTATAGATTATAAAAATACTTCTAATAGCCTGGTTGCAAGTAATTGTAAGTTTTCAGCTACTTACAAGACATTAACTTATATTATCTATTTTACTTATCTCATGAACATATGTCCCTTAACCTTAAATGTTTAATGGTCCAAAATAAGCCTATTGTGCATTTAACTTATCATATAGTCCTAACTTTCAAAGAGAAAAGGCCAGTCCTTAGCTCCTAGAAAACATAAGCTATGTGGTCTGTGCTAGTGAGAGTCTCTGCAAGATGCAGTAAAGCCTCAGCAAGTCCCACTTCCAGAGAGAACATGAGTGTAAGGAATGGAAAGCCATGTACAAGGCTTTGTCATAGAAGTTGACGGTGACATTACACAGACTACACCTTCTTTGGTAAAGATCACGTCTTAGTCTTGTATCCCACCAAGATGGTATTTTTAGAATAGTTACTCGATGTTTGATTTTAAAAGGTTGGCTTATAATAAGCACTATAAGTAAAATATTCAGGAAGTATTGGTTACGAGTAAATAGATAACAACTTTGCCAGAAATCTACTCACATACCATCCCAGAAATGCACTTAACTTGAAGTTGAGAGCATTTATATTAGCACCTACTAACATGGAGCACAGGCTCAGACAGGCTACACAGGCTGGCGTTTTCGTTAGACCACTTACAACAAACAACATGACCTTGGGAGTCACCTCCTCTCTCTGGGCCTGTCTTCTTGTATAAAATGAGACTAGAAAATAAGTGAGGATTCAAAGATTAAATGAGCACAAATCCCGTTGACACAGTACCCACCACATAAAAATGCATATAAAGTGGTAACTCTCTTGCTGTCTCTTCCAGCAGATACTTCTAGAAGAATCCCAATAAGGGTCACAGTCAGCGCTCAAAGTCACATTCCTTCAACAATTATTTTTTTATCTGATGAATCTCAATCTGTCAAACATGAGCACAAATCCTACACAGTATCTGCAAATGGGGCACATTTATTTATGTATTAAATTTATGGTAGCTCTCAGTCTGTCAATATACAAAGTACAAGGATCACATGCTGTTCTAAAACAGACATTGCAAAGAGTGCCAGAAGGCACTAAAAACCGCCGCTTAATAAAACACAAACCAAAAAAAAAAAGAGTAATTTTAACTCCTGTTGCTGGCGTGGTGCGAAAAGACCACCCAGAACAAGTGCTTACTGTCACAGCTGAGATGCTGCACCAGGTCAGACCAAGTCCTGAGGGTTAGAATCCCTCCTGGAAGACAATTCAGTTGGTAAGTGGCACCTACTCCCAACCACTTAACAAGCAAGGGTCCGCCTAAGCTAAAATGATTTAAAACCTTAGAGAGCGGCACCTGTCAGAAGAGACCCTCAAGTGTGCAGACCAGGGTACCACGACATTGGGTACCTCCCACACCTGCCTCCTTGGGGTCTCCTTAACCCTGAGGGTAGCAACAAGGGCAACAAGAAGTTGCTTCCAACCTGCACCTCAGTGGAGGCCTCTTCCACTTCTTGATTATTATGAGAGTCTGGAACGAGGCACCTGGGCCTCCAAGAGGCCAGCTCACTTCCTGGTGAACACTGTTGGACAGACCATCTGAGACCAGGACTAGAAAGCAAATCCTACTGGTGCCTGACTAGGGTACTGTAGAGGCCAGGAGAGAGAGTGCACCAGGTATGAGGAGAGCTCCCTTTCTAGCCTGTTCGGGGATCAGATGGGGAGAAAGCACCAAATTCCTCACTGAGCCCCCTACCCTCCCATCCACAGGCAGTTTTGTAAAGGCACCTGGTGCCACTCCAGAAGGCCCAGCCTCGCCCTTCTAGGTAAGTCACCGGGGAAGCGAGAATGCCCCAAGCTCACCAGCTCTCAGCAGCCCCCAGCAGCCCTGAGGCCCCTCCACCCTTTGTGATCCCTTCCCTTGGTACCCCACTCACCGACCCGGGAGCCCCCGAGGCCGCCCAGCGTGGCCAGCACCTGTGGCAGGAGCAGAATGAGCGCCAGACGCCCCATGGCCTGTGGAGGGGACAGTGTGCGGACCCCGATCTCCGCGCCAACGCCGCGGGGCGGGGAGTGCGTTCGCTGGGGCGCAGCAGCCAGGCGAGAGAAGCGCTGGGAGCGCTTGGTGGTTCCGTCTGGCTTTATCTCCCGAGCCTAAGGCTCAGCGAAACTGCTGCGCGGGGGTGAGGGGCTGGGGGCGGGAAGAGTTGAAGTCGCCAACTCTTGGGGAAAAGCTGCACGGAAGGGGTGCGGACTGCAGGGGAAGCGGCTGTGCACTCGTCGGGTCGGATCTCTGGCTATTTAGTGGGAAGGAGTGGCAGGGGCTTCCACCCCCTCCTGTAATGGGACAGTGGACACTCGGCTAATTCAGGGCCTGACCCTTAGGGACAGGGTAGGCTTGGTGACCACTCTTAAGTAAAGGCGCCTAACTTTAATGTGCATGTGAATTATTTGGCAGTCTCTTTAATAGGCAGAAGCTGAACTTGAAGGTCTAGGAGGGGTGAGATTCTCTGACTCCTAGGTGATGTTTTGTTGCTGGTCCTCAGACCTCACTTTGGAAAGCAACGTCTCTGTAGCTCCAAACCGAGGTCCCCAGGGAGGACTGCAACACTCCGGAGTTGTCTTCCCCTTGGGGGCTCTCTCTGTCCCTTCTGCCCCCTCTCTCCCCTCTGCCTCTCTCCCTTGTACCAAGGCATTCCTGCCCCTGGGTGTGTGAGGACAGCTCTAGCTGGTTAGTGATCAACAACCTAAATACAAGTAACTTAAAAGCCTCTACCACTACCACCACCACACATACACTCCATTTCTCTTTCAGTTTATATCACTGTCACTGTAACAAACAACTGGACACAGACAGGGATAGAGTTTGTTGATTCCAAACCAGAGTTAAACACAATCCTGCCAGGGCCATAAACTTAGAGGACTGACTGCAAGAAATTAGAGGTCATTTTATCCAAAAGCGGACATTTACACAAGAGATGATGGATAAAGATGAGAGTCTGTGATACCTTCCCTTTAGTGCCAGCCTCCCTCCCACCCCCTCCGCAGCTCAGCTGTGACATTCCTTCTTTCTTGTACACCAGGAGAGGCAAGTGTCAGATTCTTGGAGAGAACAGGATGGAGTTAGAATTTAGAATGTAAAACTGGCAGGAACAGTTGTAGTGTTTGGAAATGAACACAGCAATAAAACACGATGAAAAAAATAGAAACAGAAAAGTGAATTGCTAAGTGCCTTCTTAGATTTTATTTGCAACACAATACTCCAACAGCTTTCTTTTAAATCATACCTCCTCTTCATGTTCACTGCAGTCCCATCAAAGCATACTTTGAAGACATCAGAATGCCATATGCTCTAAAGTTTTCCTTAAATTCATCGTGTGGTTTGATTGCATAAAGCCAATTAAAAGGACCCTTCTGTTTTTAACAAGAATCTCCTAAGTGCTCTTATTGATTTCTGCTGAAATGTTGTTTGCTTTGGAAACAGATTCTTTTAGATGCTTACTGGTGTTCAGTGACACAGGAGAGCAACTTGAAATTGTATGAAGAGAGACTAGTTTTCCTCATAGGAAGGCCATTGAAGCTGGAAGTAAGTACCTGGGACTGGTGGATGGTAGACCGGGGTTCAAATCTCAGTTAAGTGGGATGATGAATGCACACAAATGGCAGCTTTATTGTAATAAAACTGTCAGCACCAGTTCTTAATAACCCATAGCAGCTGAGGAAGCCATAGACGTGAGTGATATAAATGATAAGTCATTTAAATACAGTTTATATTTGTCTTTAAATTTTTCTAGTCTTTGACTCATTCTTCCCTCGTGATATGTGCTGTCTTTCCTATGTCTCTCCCACTTTTGCCACTTTGTCTTTTAATTCTACTTTGTCAGCTTGTGGAGGACAGAATAATATCCCCTCCCCAAAATAAGTCTCATATTCTAATCTTCAAAGTCCAGGCATACGTTACCTTGCTTGGCAAAAGGCACTTTGCAGGTGTGATTAAAGTAAGCTCTTAAAATGGGGAGACGATTCCGTATTACTCAGGTAGACCCAATGCAATCACAAGGGTCCTTAGAAGAGAGTGGAAGGCAGAAGAGGACATGTCAGGACAGAAGCAGAGGTTGGAAGGATATGAATGCCAAAGAATGAGGGAGGCTTCTAGGAGATGGAAAAGACAAAGATACAAAATTTCCCCTAGAACCTCCAGAAGGAACACATGCCTACAAAAAGCTTGCAATTGTCCCATAATACCTATTTTAGACTTCTAACCTCCAGAAATGCAAGACAATACATTTGTGTTCCTTTTAAGTCACCAAATTTGTGAGATATATGTGTATATATATGATTCTACATTATGTGTATATATATGATTCTACATATATATATACACATTATATGTGTATATATATATGATTCTACATTATATATATCATATATATATGAGATATATATATATATATATGAGATACTCCCACTATGATTCCACAAATGGGAGAGCTGTTTTTTTTAAGTAAGTGTCTAGATGACACTGTGATTAGTAAGATGGAAATTTATTTAAAATTGTTGTTGAATGAATAGTGGGTTTGGGACCATATTTTCTCAATCAATAGTTATTGGAGACATAATTGGCAGAATCTCCATATTGAATCCTTGACCCATAAGTGAGAGTTATTAAGGCCAACTGAAGCTCTAGGAACTGCCTTACCCAAATCACAAACCAAAGCAATATTGCCTCCCCAAGATTGGTGCCAGTATCAGAGACTTGAAATATATAGCTAACTGCTCATGCATCTCTAGTCCATATATCTGTTTAGTGCAAAAACTGGATGCATGTTGGAGAATGAGAATTAATCTCTGTGAATTATTGTAAGCTTTACCAGGTGGTGACTACAATTGTAGCTAATTTGTAACATGTGGATCTAAACATGTAGCCAGATGCCAGGAGATGTAGGCCTCAAGTAAATCAAAACAGCTCCTGGCATCTTTTCTACTGCATATATAGATATTTCCCTTAGTAACTAACAACGACAATCAAAAGCCATTTGCTTTGTCTGATATTGCATTTTAAGGTTCTGTCAATCTCCTGTCATAGTCTGCAAAGAATTTTACTGTCTGGGCATTCCACGTAATATATTACTTCACACCTTTGGTCGGACCTGGTAACAGGAAATAGCAAGTACCCTAGAATTTTAATGAGATTCACATGCGGTAGGGGGAGGGGCTGTGTAATTCCATGGGAATATTGATGAAGGCACAAAAATCAGGGGTCCAGGGCATGTCAGGACAAACCTAGGAGAGCAAGACTTCTCTCCAATTCCACGCCCTGACCTATCTATCAATAGTGCTGAACCTGCCCGTTAGCTACTTCTCCATTACTTATCCTTCTGCTCTGCTCTGCACCTGGGGTAGCAGGACTCTAGCCTCTACAGCAATGTTGGCTGTGTTGGCTTACAGCTAGGTTTGACCAATGGGAGATGGCATAGGAGATAAGAGGATGGGAAGAGTGGAGAGCCAAGGAATTTCTTTCATCCTCCCTTGGGTCACATCTGCAGTAGTAGAAGCTTCTCCTTCACAGATCCTGCTCCTGCCAGAGAGGCTTGTTGCGGTTCCAGTGTCCCTGGGGTGACCCTGGCCCTGGGCTCTGTTAACCCTGCCTGTCTTCCACCCTTAAGACTAGGTTTCTATTTCCTAATCTCTGAGTTAACGCATTGTCTTCTGATCTTCATGATGATCCCATTATCTATGTAACCACTTTTATGGTTTAAATTCCCCATATTTTGAATATAGAGTGTTTGTTTTTGTTTAATTTTGTTTGTTGCTGATTTTGTTTTAGTTGTCACCAAATAGTGGAATCAAATATATTGAACCACCATGCACATGCCTTTGGGAAAATGGATGAAAAACATGTTTTATTTCTGCATACAGGTTGCCTGAGAATGCTAGAAATAAGCATGACTTACCAAAAGGTCCTTAGCCTGGTTTACACAAAGCCACAACAACTGGTTAATAGAATAAGAAAAAAATCCCTAAATTGACTGTAGGGAATTTTGACCATATTATCCATCTTCTGGCCTGAGGGCATGACACTGAGTAGATTCAACATCAGAGAACCTTGTATTATTGTTTGTATTTTTTGAGAAACTTGTATGTTTGAATGTATGCTATTTATTTAATATAAAGCACTGTAAAACCCTGACATTTTGTAAACAAAAAGCAAAACCTTGGGGCTATTGTAATTTTCATTACAAGAGCATTTGGTGATCTTTATTGAATTTGTGAAAGAGAAGTGTTGAAGTGATACTGATTATTTTTAGAATCCTTAAATAGCTTTTTATAAAAATACAGAAATATTAACTATATTACAGATCTGTATGTTGAATTCAAAACAGGAAATATTCCAGGTAATTGGGTAACTAAGTCTTGGTTGTTCTAAAATAAACTATTATTGTTGCGTTAGCAACACCACACTGATAAGAAAAGAAGAGTCCTGCGGCAGGCTATAGGATGTAGGATGCTGCTGAGAGCAAGATCTTGGCCTTTTCAGTGACAGAGAAAAGGGTGGGTCAAACTGAATAATGGATTTTGGGCTTTAGGAAGGGTGAGTCTGATTATATACTCCTGACCCCCACCCATGACTCCAATCTTATTAACAAGGCGTTCCTCTGATCAGTCCTTAGGGTGCAAAGTACATCAGTCACCGCCCCCTGGCCTTTCCCAGTCATACCTCTTGATGTATACCCATTGCCCCATGGCCATCAAGTGTCCTGCTCTTGTCTAACTTGAAAGGAGCCTTGTTCACCTATATACTGTATCATTTTGTTAGTGTTGGGAAACTATATAAAAAGTATAGTTTAGGGATCAGACAGTAATTACCACAGAACTAAAAGAATAAATCAGAAAGAAGGGAAAATGGGGGCAGTGTACGCTAGGGAAGTTTGGCAGGAGTAGGAGAAAGAAGGCAAGAAGTAGAACAAAAAGAGAAAACAGCCTTAGGTATGAGTAAGAACAGAGCTGAAGACTCCAGCCTAGATGACCCTGCGAGGCCCACGGCTGGTCTCTCCCAGTGCCCATCTATTCTTCTCTCTGCTGAAAGTCATTTTACCAAAATACCTCCCTCTATGTCATTCCCCTGCCCCCACTTTTAGTGATGTGCCGTTGCC